GTAGTAGTGAATATTTTGAAGTTGTAGCGACAGATTCGATCGATTTCGCTCATCCTTCCGATGGAAGTTGCGCGAGGCCAGCCGCGGCCTTGAAGACTTACCTGTTGCCCTGTGCGTTACTCAACGAATGGATCCAAGTGCTCTCTCTCTCTCTCTCTCTCTCTCTCTCTCTCTCTCTCTCTCTCTCTCTCTCTCTCTCTCTCTCTCTCGTCATTCCCACTGCCCGCGGTTCGGTCGTCGTACGCCCCCCTACACCGCCGTAACGCACACCACCACGGACCGCGTCTGCCTACGCACAAATGCACACGTCTCTCGCCATGCACGGTCGCAGCTGTAAGCCGATGCTCGCCCTCACCAGGATCGCTCCTTTGCGTGCTCGCAGGCAGCACTCGACTCGCAGAAAAAAAAAAAGGGCGCGCTGTATCTTCCCGGCCTTGCGGTGCTGATTCGGAATCGCCACAGGCCGCCACGGGAGAAAAAAAATGCAGCCGCTGTATATTCCCGGCCTTGCCATGCAGATTCCGCTCCGCCAAAACCCAACAAAAATGGTCCCCGCCTCACACCAGTTGGGATAAAGTGCGGGAGCGGTAAAATGATCGGCCTCACACCACTTGGGAAAAAAAAGTGCGGGAGCGGTCCCGCGTGCCGGCGCCCGGTTTCTGTTGGGTCCGTCACGCGAGACCGGCTTCTTAAAGTATTATATATAGTATTAGTATAGTATAGTATAGTGTAGTATAGTATTAGAGATAGTAGTGGTATAGAGATAGAGAAACAAATTGAAAAGCAAAGAGAAAAAAGAGGAAAAACAAAGCTTCGGGAGTTTATAGGCATCTATCTTAGTTCTGTAAACCTCGGATGTAAGGTGATGGAGGCCTGATTTCACTCACACAGCCGACTGTGTGTGACCATACATATACCCGACTCGTGTGCAACCAGTGGTGGAACCGTGCCCCATGTAAATTCTGAGTTCCTTCGTCATTGGGATTCGAGTTGAGGTCTGGCATTTCACCAGTGCATGGCTACTCCTTCAGAGTATCAATATCACCTGGTCATCATGGTTTTGCGAACGGAAAACTGTGGTCACCTAGAGCACATTCAACACATCCGCGAGGACTTCGCACAGAGAGCCAGTGGGGCCCGAATCTTTGCGGCGGGCGTTCAGTTCGGTCCCCAATATAGCACGCCAGTGGTCAGCGGCGACGCATGGAGCTCCTTCCCGTCTGTTGGGGCCTGCAGGGAGCCCCTTTCGTCAAAAAATTCCGGCGGGGAAAGCCAGTTGGTGAAGGGCGGGCGGAGACCCATACCGAGAATACCGAGAAATTCTCTGACTGACTGTGACCTCCCGCCCCGGTGAGGAATCCGTCGATATCCTGTACTGTAATCTTCCGGTCCATGTCGAGCTTTTCTGGCTCTCTAGTAGTTGCACTACCCGCCATCCGCCAACATTTTGAACGCATCAGGACAGAATTCGCGTCAGATTCATTTAGAGTAGTGCAACTTGCCAGGCCCTTCGCGGTAGCCAGTCCCTTCGGCCGGTCCTTTCCTTGCCCAATGATTGCCACAGAGATGTGACCGATAGATAGGTGCATGAATGCATGACCGCCCTTCGCAGCCACAACCTACTTCGGTTCTGCCGGGGCAAAGTCCCACTTGCACGGATTACGAGATTCTGACCGTCGATCTGTGCTATCTACGGTCAATATCTCTTAATTCGTTTAAGTGGGACCTACCGTCTTCCCCCGAGCACAACGCACCCCCATTTTGCCTGTATCGGGCCGGAAACATACCTTGTATACGTTCATTTTCAGGGTCCGTTAAGTTCGGGGGAAGACGGTAGCCTCCGGACAAAGCTCGCTCGCCTTGCCCGAGCTAGGCAACCGACTGAGATGCGAACATCGCGACCGCGATCGTCTAACTGCCGCCAGACACTCACAGACGCGAAAGCGAAAGGGGCGCGACGACAAAGCGGCCTGGGTAGAATCGCCTCATCCTGACTAATTATATTATAATCACTAATTACTTCACACACGCTCCACTTGAAGTCAGTTCAAGGGCTTCCCTACTTTGTGCGAGGGTATCGTGTGATCGTTGAGCACTGTGTGATCTCCACGTGGCGGTCGCTTCAGCTCAGTCCTTCTCTAATTTCTTTTCTCACGTGAGTTTCTTCGTTCGGGATCGGGATCGAGTAATGCCGTTGTTATCTCATTCTAGTCGCAGCAGCCGGGATGAGATAGGCTCACGGCTGCATAATCAGGGGTTGAAAAACCCCACACAGCCGTATGCGAGTTTTGCTGCTACGTTGACACGTACGAGCAGCAGAGGTATTCCATCAAATCAATTATTTTTTGATGCAGAGGTCCGAGCAGAGGTATTCCATCAAATTTGTGGTTGATGCAGAGTCCAACTTACCGTCATTCAACTTCTTGTTGTGATGATGAATTTTTTTTTTGGAAGTTCGTTTCATGTGATAAAGTACCTTTGATCGATATAGGAATACCTTTGATCGATATTATACAGTAATGCCTTCGATCGATCTATAATGCCTTCGATATGATACAGTAATGCCTTTGATCGATCTATAATGCCTTTGTACTATCTTTTTGTAAGTGGACAAGCTCGTGCATTACGGTAGTGTGCTTAATTACAGTAATAGCGAGCAAGTGATGATATCTCGTCTCGTCCATTAGAGTCACATCGTCATCGTCGGCGGCCAATTGTGAGGCAGCTGTCTGAGAAATCCAAGCTTGGATCTCCACGAGTGCTTGCCGATTGTCTCATCTCAGGGTCTGGTTTCTGTTCTCTTCACCTGGGTACTTGGTCATTTTGATCTTTCAATATATATTCGATCTTCTACTCGTGGTGCCGTTCCTTCCGCTGCCAGCTCCGCATTTGCCACGTACTAGGCTGTAATAGCAGAGGCATTGAAGTCTCAGCTTGCTGTCTATTCAGCTACTTGGTGGGTGATGAATGCGATGTCTCGGAGCTACTAAGAGTGCATTTGTGAAACTATATGACGAACATCTTCATCATCAAAAGCTTACTAGAACACTGAATTCCTCCTACGTCTCTCTCTCTCTCTCTCTCTCTCTCTCTCTCTCTCTCTCTCTCTCTCTCTGTGGGAACGAGGGGTATAAATACTGAGGATAGTGGCTGAAATGATTACCTGAGCAGTGAGGTAGAAGGGTAATCGCAACTGGTGTCGCATGCCATGGACATTACGTGTATGCTGTGAAAGTAAAACCTCGCACGTTCTGTCTACATTTGCATGTTGTTTCTCTCTCTCTCTCTCTCTCTCTCTCTTGCCTCTCTCTCTCTCGCTGTTCTTTCGTCTTGCCTGCGAGGTAGTCATCAGCTGTGAAGGTGGCTTACTTGGTTCCAAGGGAAGTGACGATGTGCAAACAAGATGGGGGACCATCGAGCGTGGAGAACGGAGAATGGAAGTTAATTAATCTGTCTGTTGGCCTTTTCACTTTTACTTGATGGGACTTCTGCGTTGCTGATTCCTTGGCACCTGAATGAGCAGTGCGGTGCGAGAAACAGGATCGGGGATGTAATTGAATGCAGAGGAGGATGAGCATAGGAAAGAGGCACGCCTTTCCGCTCTCTCTATTGCTCCTTCCTGGTGTTACTAGTAGTTGTCATCCAGGGCACTGCCTATCGTATCTCAGATGCGTGCAAACAGTTCTAAACAAAATTGAATGCGAGGAGGTGGTAAAGTCTCGTCTCTCTCTCTCTCTCTCTCTCTCTCTCTCTCTTTAGGTTTTTCTCGTCTTACTTACGAGTCGTCGTGCTGATGGAGGAACACTTATGAATTGTTGCTTACCATCACCAATTACTGAGGATATCTCCCTCGCTCTCTTGCTGCTCTCAGAACGAGCGTTTCGTGAGGAGGATAGGAGGGAAGTGCTTTACTCAGCGGGACTCGATCTGTCGATGTGCAAGTGGCTTTATCTACTCTCTCTCCAACGCATCGATCATCTCCGAATACGATAGTAGTGACTATAGGGTCGACGTTTTTCTGTCTGTCGGCATTGCGCGATCCGTTGACAGGGAACAAGAAAATGGAGACCGACGTGGCCCGGTCCGGATCGCAACGAAGGAGGAGGAGACCGACGTGTCCGTTGCGGCATCCGAGTCGTCTCATGTGGAGCGTCGTCTACACTCTCCTTCTGATCATCGGATTCAGCTGTGTCGTGAGCACGACGAATCTCAGGGTTGATGGGATTGAGTCACAAAAGCAGCCATCTCGTCGCGGCAGGTCAGACGAGGCAAGCGTTGCAGCAGGAGGAGGAGGAGGAGGTGAGGAGCAACTGTCGAACCAAAAGGCCACGACGACAGGACAAGTGGCAGTCGAGCGCAGTGCGATGGGCGACGATGGTGGTGATGCATCGAGATCGCAGTCGGTGTCTCACTGTCACTCGAACGATGGGTCTGTCGGAATGAAGGAAAAAGGTGGGCATACGACGGACCCCGGTGATGATGATGATGGGTTAATCATGGAGGAGGGTGGTGATCAGGATGATGATGGGTTAATCATGTCGAGTCCCGGATGTCTAGCAAGATCAAGTGAGAGTTGGAAGGATGTGATTCAATCCGATTCGCTGCCCCCTCCTCCACCCCCTCCGCCGCCGGATTCCGTCCGTCGCGACGAAATGAGATCCCGTCCTCCCACGGCAGAAAGTGGGGACCATGGGGGCATCTCCGCCGCCATGGGGGATCACCTTTTGGGATCTCCAACGGCGGAGGAAGCGATGGGCCGAATTGCGAGCGGAGACGCGGCGGCGGCGGCGGCGGCGGCGGAGGCTTTGGTGATTGGTCGTGACGGCGGCGAGGAGGGCGGAGGGCGACGCACCTTAGTGGCAAGTGACGTCAGCGATGGGGAAGCCGATGATGGTATAGTTGCGATCCCGACCGGGACAGGGATGGACGGAGAGGTTCGGCTGGAATTGGCGTCGAGGGTGGGAGATCAAGGACGCGTCGTTGGTGTTGACGGCAACAATGGCGGAACAGCGAGAGGTTCCGCGGCGTTGGATTCGTCTTTTTTGCACATGGTTACGAGCGAGAGGACAGCACGAGAGGTGCCCGATGACGTGGGTGTTAACGGACACGTTTCTGCTAGCGATGGTGGCAGAACAACATGGCCGTTGAATGACGAAGAGACGGGGCGCTCTTTGATGCCAAGCAATGGGAACGGAGATCTGATGGGGGGGGGGGATAGGGATACCGACGAGCAGCACCCTAGTAGGTACGGAGTGGACATGTGCCCCGAGTGCGGCGGAGGGGTCGGGGTCGGTCGGGACAGTTCGTCGTCGGCCGCCGACGTAAAAGTAGTGGCAACGACGACTGACACAGCGGCACGAAGATCAACGGCTGCTGCCGATGATGCCGAGGGGAGAGAGGAGGTGGTGGATGATGAGCTGCGCGAAGATCGACGGCTGCCCGCAGCAGCTTCTGTAGTGCACAAGCGTCCGCAGTCTTCTGAGGGTTCAGGCCGGGGAGACTTCTACCCCAGAGGAGGAGGATCCGAGGGGATCCGCATGGAGAGAGAAGGGAAAGAGGAAAGGACAGGACGGGAGGGAGTCGGTGTCGATTGGCTGCCGACGGTGTTGTCATACGGCGTCGAGATGTGTCCCGAGTGCGTGGATCCTGGAAGGGACTTCCTCTTGGCTGGCAAACAGAACGAGTCGGCAGGCATTCGCTTACAGGGAGAGGCAGCGGGATGGAGCGAGAGAAGAGATGATGAGCAAGATGGTGATCTTTTGCCGTCGCAGACGGTGTCGCCGACCGGACTGAAGATCCCCGAGGAGGAGTGCGGGGGGTTAGGGAAGAAGAAGTATCTTCCCTCCCGTGCCTTGTTAGAGAACGAGTCTGGCGGCGACTCGCCGGCGAGAGTAGCGGTAAGTCCTGCGGTGTTTAATCAGGCTCATCACGAAGAGGAGGACGATGAAGACGACGAAGAGTTTTGGAATGGTATTTCTAATGAATACGTGGATGATGACGTGGACACGGACGATTTGTTTCTATTTTTAGATACGGTCGAGGAGTCGACGGCGGAGGCGGACCTGTTTGGAAACTCTTCCGCTCCTGGGCCGGCGGAAAGGAAGGTTGTGGCGGAAAATCGCGGCGACAAGGAAGCACCAGAGATTAACGATGGAGTATTGAGGAGTAGGGATGATCGGCAGCAGCAGCAGCAGCAGCAGCAGCAGAAGGTTCTGGATCAATCACAGAACAACACCGTAGGGAGAGAAGGGAGGGCACCAGCACAGCTGTCGTCTTACGACTTAGGAAGAGGAAGTGTTATTGCTGACGTGTCATTGGATACGAATGAAGGAGAACGATCGCTCGGCAGGGAAGAGCGGGTTGTAATGAGAGGAGGGAAGCGCGTTGAGGAGGTGCTCAGTTCTCCGTCGATTGGAGAAGACGTTATCGGCAGTCCTTATGCGGCAGCTACGGAGGAGGAGGAACAAGACTTCATCGGCTGTCCTCATGCGGCAGCTATGGAGGACGAGGAGGAGGAGGAGGAGGAGGAAGAGGAGGAGCGGAAGGGTGCGAGTGTCAGTATGGCGACCGATGATGTAAAAGAGCAGCAGGAAAGAATGAGGTCGATCCACGACGATGAGAGGGAAGAAAGGCGTCGAGAAGAAGATGAGAACGAGGGTGATCGAATGGGTGGCCCCGATGTTCTCATGGAATCGAAAGCAGAATGTCATCGCTTGAGTCGTTCGGCGGCTGCGGCGGCGAAGCGGAAGACAAACGAGCAACAGCGGCGTTGTCTGGAAGACGAGGTGGGGGGTGGGAACGAGGCGGAGGCTGATTGGAGAGGCCGCGGGTGCGGAAGGGGGGGGGCGGGGGATGCAAATGGGGTGGGTAGAGATGGGGGGAATGGGGTGCCCTTACGTGAGGGGGACGAGGGAAAAGGAAAGGTGGGGAGGAAGGCAGTGGATGGCATGCTTCGCTTGATCTCGCTGCAGCGCGACGCGCTTTTGCACCTGGAAGCGTTGTTAGAATCGCAGGAGAAACGACTCCGCCAGCTGAGTGCCTTGCTGATGGCAGAAGAGAGTGCAGCAGATGGTCCCGTAGTTGTTGACGAGGAGAAAATCATGGCCGGTCAAAGAAAGTCGATAAGGAACGCAGCGGGAGTCGCGGGGATTCGAAAGACTCCGACGACGGATGGCCGATCAGCGCCGCCGCCGAGTTCATCATCATCCAGCTGTGGTCACTCGTCTAGGCACCGCCACGTGGCATCCGGGTTTTCTTGTGAAGCCGCCGAGTGTGACAGAGATCGTCGTTTGCTCTTAAGTGCGCAGCAGGACTGTCGAAGCGGTAGCCAAGCGAACGAGCTTCTTCATCTCCTTCCTCCGGTCCCCGTAGAGCGCGTCGCTGCGGATGCTGCTGCTGCTGATACATTAGATTGGAGCGATGGATCGTCATTGCGCAGCAGCTTGTCAGTGGAACAAGTGAAGGAGGGAGGACGAGTGCTCGGGGCTTTGTCGGAACGGAAAGACGTAGACGAAGAAGAGGGAACATCGTCGTCATCATCGATGGCATTCGGGTCGTTGAAGCGACGAGTGACATGGAAGAAGCACTTTGAGCTCCTGGGCGTCGCTAGCGTGGAGGCACCGGTCACTGTTATGCACGCACTCCCTCAGCAAGGGGAGAACGGATTGAGCAGGTATGTGGCTGTAGGCGATGCGATGGGCAGAGTATCAATCTTCACTCCCTATGGAGATCGGATTTTATGGCGAAAGATAACCGAGGATGATGGATCGTCGTCGGCGGTTACGGCTATGTCGTCGTATGTCGTCGGCAGGAATGTGACTATCATAGTCGTTGGATTAGCGAATGGTAGATCGTTGGCGTTGGAAGTAGCAGAGGAGAGAATTGCTACAGCTTTGGCCCAACCGCTGGATGGGGAGATCAAATACACTCTGTCGTGGATCTCCACGACCCGTCTCTGTGCTCCGCATGTCGGCGGCGGCGGTGGCGGCGGCGATTCTTCTTCTTCTTCTTCTGATCTCTGCGGTTCCGCTAGTGCCATCTGTCGTTTCAGAAATGCGCGCTCTCCCCCCGACTCCCCGATCCCGACTACCCGTTTGTCGTCGTCGGAGGCGGCAGCGGATCCCGCTCCCGATCGCGATCGCGATGGCGCGGTTATGAACGGCGATGGTGACCGTGATGGTGATGATGCGTATTCGTACGCGGGCGAACTTGAAGAGATGGTGGGTGATCATTGTCAGGACGGGACGGTAATGCGGGGTGGGGATCCGGATCGAGCTGTGTCTTCCGATCACCGGAAGCTTAGTGGTTGCGTCGGTCGCCCGTGGTCGTCATCATCATCTTCGTCGACGGCGGCGCCCTTTGGCTCCTACGATGATGACACGTGTTCTTCATCATCGGCTGTTGTGGCGGTGGAGATCTACCGCGTCGGCGGTCTGGGTCGTTGCGCGGTGATCGCGCATGCCGACGGAGTGATGACGCTTTTCGCGGAGAACCTGACACGTGTCGCGACGGGGCGCGGTCCTCAGCGGCCGCTAGCGTTTCTGCGGTCGCAGATGCAATCTTCCAAGGCAGTGCTTGTGTCTGCCAGTGGGGCGACGATCGTGCGCTTGCCTGAGTTGAGTGTGACCACAACGAATCCTTGCAAATTGCTGACGAGGGTTGAAGCAGAAGGCGAAGGGGAAGGGCAAGACGTAGCCGGGAATGATGACCCGCAGAGACGTCGGCGATCGGTGCCTTTGGTCGGATTCGCTGTGGATCCTGTGTCGCGATCGCGGTACTACGCTGTCACGGAAGATGGACAGCTCCTCTCTCTTTTCCTAGGTGGAGGAGGAGGAGGAGGAGGAGGAGGAGGAGGAGGAGGAGGCAGAGGAGGAAGGGAAAGGGAAGACGATGGTGAAGGGCCAGAATGCACGGTGCGAAGCAGGCGACCGGTGCTGTCGAAAGACGCCAAGCAAGTTACGTACGGTAATAGGAAAGCACAGGAGGAAGATGTTGAGCGGAAGAAGGAACAGACCGGAGGCGAAGGAGAGGAGCCAGTCGAGACAGGAGGACGGGATTTGCTTGTCCACCCACTGCGCGCTCTGAGAGGGTACGTCGTCGTCGCAGATCCCGACCGTCGCTTGCACGTATTCAACACCGTGATGGGTCGCGACGCTGCCAGGCGTAAGACTATCAACAATCCCTCGCTTATTGTGAGTGTCTGCATGGAGGACGTTATTGCGGAATGGTGGGACGGGGCGACGGCGGCGCGCTTCACAACAGCAGCAGCAGCAGGAGGAGGAGGAGGACGAGGAGGAATGGGAAATGGGGGTGTTGGGGCCCCACTGGGATTGAGGGGATTGAGCATGGAGAGTAACGGAGACAGAATGCTAGCTGTGGGATTCGACGAGGGTTACGTGGCGTTCTATCGTGCAAGGGGAGTGGGCATGCGGCATCAGCACATTGAGAAGGCAGGAGCATCTGTCTTCTGGAAGAACCCCATCTTCATGGCTGTTGTGGGGCTCGTCATTTTTTGGCAGATTGTGAAAAGTAAGAAGGGCAACGGTCAGTGGAACGGATGGTCGACAGGAGGGGTAGATGACGGTTGGGGTCGGGCAGGAGGAGGAGGAGGAGGAGGGTTATGGGAGCAGCTTGAGAGATCTTATTCTAGTGAAAGAAAGCATGGTAATCGTCGTCGTCACGGGATGGCTGCTGCAGAACGAGAAACGACGGAAAGAACAGGAAGGACACCAGCGAGTGGGTCATCGCCTACAGATGCCGGGTCTCTTAAGAAGTCCCGATCGAGAACGTTCCAAAGAGAGGGGTCGAGATCCCTCGAAAGAGAGGGGTCGAGATCCCTGGAAAGAGAGGGGTCGAGATCCCTGGAAAGAGAGGGGTCGAGACCGTCCGAAAGAGAGGGGTCGAGACCGTCCGAAAGAGAGGGGTCGAGAACCTTGGAGAGAGAGGGGTCGAGAACCTTGGAGAGAGAGGGGTCGAGAACCTTCGAGAGAGAGGGGTCGAGAACCTTCGAGAGAGAGGGGTCGAGAACCTTCGAGAGAGAGGGGTCATTCACAGGGTCGGATTCGTACCGATGAGAATTGACAACTCCATTTGCTGCAAGGGGGTTGAGCAGATTGTGCAGACTACCGTATTCCCCCGAACACAACGCACCCTCTGTATGGCTGTATCGGACCGGGAAATTACCTCGTATACGTTCATTATAAGGGTGCGTTGTGCTCTGGGGGAGACGGTAGTTGTCTCGACTTCCAGACTCATGGGGTGCGTGAGTCGACTGCTCGTTGGAAAAGGGGTGGCAGAGGGAAAGGCGGGCGGGGGGGGCGAGGAGAAAGGCTCGTGTCATTTGGCTGGCTCTGGCTATGGGAGAGAGAATCGCTGTGGGCATGCGGCTCTATTTCAATGCCATGCGCAGGCAGAGACGCAAGGGGCGGGGGAGGGGATTTTTGTGTGTGTGTGTGTGAGAGAGAGAGAGAGAGAGAGAGAGAGAGAGAGAGAGAGAGGTAAACTTCCCAGCATGTGTTTTGGATTGAAGGTGCCAGTTTGGTGGGCGCGCTGGTGTCTTGAGCGATCTAAGGAGGCAGGTGAGGAAGAACGAAGGCGGGCAGTCGGGGTGTGAGGGTGTAGTTTCAGATGAGAGGATTAATACTGTAATTTCTTCTGTCGATTTCCCCACGGATATCTGCGACCTCGCATTTATAAGGGTGTAGTTTAATTGGCGATTAAACCAGCGGGGTTTACGAGGCAGGGCAGGCAGCCAGCCATCCCTTCGTCTGTTCCTGGTCAGCCTGTCTGGAAAAGAGAGAAGTTGGTAGCAGGTGTGTGTTGCGGGGCATCAATTTGACGTTCTCTCGCTTTGACCTTTCTAATGCAGCTTGCTGGCGAGGGAACGTACAACGTCGGCGGCGATTCGATCTTCTCGTATCTGTCTGGACATTGGGATGGAGAAGAGGTCCATGGGTTCAGGGTGGAAGGTTGGGGTCCATTATTTCATTTTTACCCTCTGAACATGGGACCGCTTTCTCCTGGCAGGCGGTAGTGTTGGCGGTCCCATGGATGACAGCGCCCTTGGGACAAACCCCGGGACCATGTGGTACCGTATTCAATGGTGCTGATGAAGTATGTGCAGGGAATGGCGTGTGGAGGTTTGCTGTGAGTTGTGTGTGTGTGTGTGTGTGTGTGATGGTACCCTGTCTGACGGCTCTGCAGCCATACCCTCCAGAGCTTGTATTGCTGGAAGGGAACTGTAAGGGGGAAGGCAAGAACAGACGGGTAAGGAAGTGGGAACAGGCAGCCAGCAATAACCGAGGAAAAGGAGAGCTAAGCAAAGAGGAGACAAAGGCAGAGAGAGAAAAGAGGGAGGAAGAGGGAGGAAGGAGGACACAAAGGCAGATAAGAAAGAGGGAGGAAAGGGGAAGCAGGAGGAAACAAAGGCAGATAGGAAAGAGGGAGGAAAGGGGAGGCAAGAGAAAAGAGGGAGGAAAGGGGAGGGAGGAGGAAGGGAGGGATGAAAGGGGAGACGAGAGAAAAGAGGGAGGAAAGGGGAGGGAGGAGGAAGGGAGGGAGGGAGGAAGGAGGTAGGGACAGAGAGAAGGAAAGGAGCAAGCAATGCAGGGAGGATTGTGAAAATTGCGAGACGACAAGGAAAAATGGGTGGAGAGGAAGGCTGTCAGGATAGTGCAGCGAGAGGAATGAAGGAGAAGGCGCAGGAACGCGGCAGGAATTCAAAGGGGAAAGAAGAAAGGAATGAAGAACAAGGAGGAAAAAAGCAGAAGGAAGGACGGAGAGAAGAATTTCAAGGTGGTGGGAAAACGGAGAAGCAAGGAGAGCGGAAAGAGGAGGAGACGGATGAGCCGACCGAGATTCTCTTGAGTGTGCACCGCACAGGTGAGTATCAGTCGAGTCATTCCATTGAACGTGCACATTGCACTTTTGCGCTTTGTCACGTTTTGCGACATTTCTTCTTTCTTCTTTCTTTCTTTCTTTCGTTCTTTCTATCTTTCTTTTTCTAGTTTCTTTCTTTCTTGCGTTATTATTATTATTATTTTCGTTATTTTTAAATTGGCAAATGAATATGTCGGAGAACGTGACAAAGGGCAAAAGTACAATTGCACTTGAATATGTCCCGTTTACACAGAGAATAATATATGTTACAGCCCCTCCCTCGTTTGTTGTCCTCTTCTCCTTCCCTCTCTGCCTATGGTTTACAGTCGGTAGCTCTGTTTGCACGATATATATATACACCGGGCAGCTCTGTTATATATGTGCTTGCATGTGGGACTTGTCATCTAGGACCTGTTTTTGGTGCTGTTGCTTGTTGCCCCCTGTTTTGTTGTATTTGGCTGTTCCTTTCCTCTTTTCTTTGCCTCTTTGCCTTTTGGCTGTGTGCAAGTGGGTCGATATGACACACGGGGGTGGGGGCAGCCGCCGCTCAGCTCAACCTACATCCACGTGGGCGGCCTTGTACGCAAGAGGTTCTGAACAGGGGGAATTGTAAGGAAGAAGATTTAAAAATGAATTGATATCTTTTTTGTTTCCTTTTGTTTTTTTCGTTCTTGCGCTCTGATAACTTTGTGACAATATATATATTAGTTGTTGTTTGACCATAATAGTCCACCTGCAGAAGGTAGTAACTATACTACCTCAGGAGGCTTTACTGTAAATGTCCTACAGTTAGCGTTTCACGGTCGCCACCTTCTTATGCATCATGCGACGCCAGGCGATGACCTCAATAACCATGGCACTCATTCGTGCAGCTGCCCAGTGGGAACTGTGGGATGGTGGGACGATGAGTCAGGTCATTTTCGACGTGAATGAATTTTTGCGAGCATTGTCGAATCATWCTTTATTCTGGATTATTGACCGACTCTCGTGTGACATCTGTCGGGACAGAGACGCGGTGCGCCTTGGCTGTGGAATGCATCATCTATGCCATAGCCATTATCAATCTATTGCGACTGCCGCCGTCTGTTCTGAAGGGTGTCCAACATTTCCTCGTTGTACACATCCCTATCACCCAGATATACGTTGTGTGTTTCGTGCCCAAGGACGCTATCAGAACTGTATGATGCCGCACTGTGATGAACGTCCTGCTGTGTTTTTGACATGTGGACAACATGTCCTCTGTCAGGACTGTTTTGATGGGATGGTTCGTGCTAGCYGTCCTGCTGAATGCTGTGYTGGCGCAGSTCTCCTTGGGCATCCTTGTGAACATCCACATCATCCTCACCGTAGCTGTCCTATCTGCCGAGGTGGGGACAGGTAAAGAAAAAAAGAAGAAAAGAAAAAGAGAAAA